GCAGTGTTTCATTATTTCTGATCCTGATTGCAGCATTAGGTAAGAGGGGCACTTATTTTTTAGTTCTCTTTTCAACTTGTGCTGACCCATTTTATTTTCTTTCATGTCAATGTCTCTTTTCCTGCTCATGTTCCTTCAACATGTATTCTAGCAATATATAACTCTTGCTGTCCTTTCTTACTCTTTTAGTATCTGCTTTTACATCCTTTAAAATTGGCCATTCTTCTTCTTTAACTGAGCTCACTGTAATTTATATAACTAATTTTCTAGTTTTTCAGACCTTAGCTGATTTTCTAACAGGAATAGATCTAGTTCTTTGGGGAAGTAGTTAGTCATTATCACTTCTGCTTTAATTTTTTTCTTCTTGTTTTCCACCTTTTTGTCCTGTGATGTTCTATTATCTATACTTCTGCTTCAGTTTCCTTGTGTTTTCCAACATTTTTTTTTACCACTTGATATGAAAATCTAAACTATTTCAACACCTGGGAAACTATTTCGACACCTGGGGACTGTGCCTCTCTATCAGCATTTTCCATTTCTCAGTTTCTCTTGGAATTCAGTTGTCCTTCAAGATGCCTAGTGTCCTGGTTACTCAGTGAAGTCCAGAATAAAATTGTCCAGTGTCCCCCTTTTCATTCACCATTTTTCACTCTTGAAATTGTACAAAGATCCTTTCTGGCAACAATCCTGCAGTTTTACTTCTCATAGACTGTGCATCATGTAGTTTTGACTCTAAGCTCATGACAGAGGTTTTTTTAATTTTAATATGAAACACCCATTCATAAGGACTCCAGGGTTAGAATCAGATTATTCTGATTATTCATGCTACAGCTTGTCAACTCATTGTCTGATCTTTTTTCCTGTGCTTGTGGATGCCACTTGCACAGACAAAAGTTGGTTCTTTAATTGGACAGTTCTTGTGTGGTAAAGTGGAATTGTCTGCAGTAGTTCCCAGTTCCAGAAAATTAGGCAGTCATTTAAATAACTTCAGAGCTATTGCTATTTGTGGGAAGATTTAGTGGATGATGCAGGAACAGGCTAAGATGAAGCTTGATCCTACCCATGGTCTCTTAGACTGCATAGTTATAGTTTCTGTGCAGGTAAGGGAGAAAAGATGTTAAGACTCTGTTGTTGCCTGTAAATATAGCATAAGGCTACAAATCTGATATTGTAGAACATGTTACTTATGGGTATTCTTCCCCAAGCTGCCAAATAATAAAATTATCAGTGCCTGAAGGAGATAGCACCTATTTTCCCCAGTGTCTCTGATCTTCTGTCTTACTGAGATTAGGTAGATTAGGCCACCTTCTTATAGCAAGACTGTCATTTATGACAGATAATAAAATAAAGTGTTATCTATCTGTTGCTTCGGGGAAGTCACGCTGCATTTCCCCATGGTTTTCTGCATGTGGTGGTAGTGTTCCTCATGCCAATTAAGGGACCTTTGTTTCCAGAAACAACACCAGTTCCAAAGTTCTGGGTTTATCAAATTTGAAAAAAAAAAGTGAATAATTCACAACAATTGGAAAAAAAAAGTTTAGTAGACATTTATGAAGTTCCTGTAAAAGAATATCCTAATATTGTAAACAGTTAATTTAGAAATAGTGACTCATCTTAGTAGGAGAAGGGGAGAAATACGGTATGATCTTATATAACTACAGAGTAACAACTACAAGAGGAAACAGTGTTGAGTTCAACAGAGTGCTTTTAAGATACAAAGGGTTAAAATGATAGAAAACAAAATTGTTCTGGGGGAGGGAATGACTTCTTTCCTCTTCCACACCAGAAACGTAAGAAAGACATCAGGCATAATACAAAGATAAAAACTGTATAATGCAGAAGGAAGCAGTTTTCTTCCACTGCTATCATGTCTAAACAATTCTGGATACAATTTTAATTTGCCAGTGCTGTTGAAGTCTTCACAAAACTTGTTTTGATTTTTGTCTCATGCTTCCTTGAAGACTCAAATGGTAAACATTTGGACATAATGACGCAAACAGTAGGCTATCAATCAATCCCAGTTTTCACAGCATTGTTGTTCATTCAGAAAAGCTGTGTGAACTGACCTCTTTCTACAGCAGTGTCATTAGTTCTTTCAGAAATAAAACAAGGATCAAAAAGACTTCCAGGATTTTTCTCTTTAGACTTGCTGTACTGAATAATTTTGTAAAATTAGGATCAACTGTTTTCAATTAGCTCTCAGCTTTTTTTAATGTATATTGTAAGAGAGACTACATATTAATTGTGTTTGTTCTTCCTCAGTTTTCTAAGCACTGACTTCCAGTAAATTAGTCAAACAAAAAATTGAATTTAGATTAGATTTGTCATGTAGGCTCCTAATTTTGATGCAAATGACAAATAGGAGGTAAATGTATGCAGCGTGAATGTCTTTGGATAGAGACGAAATATGATAGGGCTTGCTCTGCCTGAGGTTAGCATTAACTTGATGTGGGGCTTACTGTGGGAGCTGAAGCAGCACCAAACCATCCCAGTCCTTGCTGCTCCCATGGTGAGCAAACTTAGGAAGCCTTTGCTCCTCATGTCTAGCTGGTAAGTCTGACTGCTTGTGCTCTCTGCTTTTTGGTGCTGTGGAGGTACAGTGCTGAAATACTTTCCCAAGCCATCTAAATTTAGAAATATAACAAGCCTTGGTCAGTTTAAGACAGTTTATTAGCCCCACTTTCATCCTACATGGGTATGAGAGTATTGTGAGTGGTTGAAGGTCTTGTAGAGTGTAGGTGTACTAAAAGATGATTAAAAGCTCACCAGTGATATGAATTCTAGTCTACTGTCTCCTCTACTGTAAGAGTCATCTTGCAGGCCACAACTGAACTTCAGACCACTACTTAAGCTATTCTGCCCTCCTTATGTCCTTGACTCAGTGGTGCTTTCCACATTGGAGGAGGTCATCATGTACGTGTCCTTTCTGGTGTGAGTCATTATTTGTGCCTGTTATCCTTTCCTAACTAGGCCATCTGCTTGGGTTATCCTTCTGCATCTGACTTTCATCTGACTGAATGCTGGCTTTGATTTCTTTTCTTTTTTTTTTTTTTTTTTATACCCACAAACACCTGCTTGCCTCAGTTGCCTTTTTTTTTTAAAGGTTGGAGTAGAAAGGGCGTTTTTTCTATGTTAAAATTGCATACCTTTTGATTTAGTAGTCCTTTTTGATCAAAAAGGGTGGAAGTCCAGAGGTTGTCTTGAGATTTTGGAATTAATAGTCATTACTACAGAACTAATTAATATGGAATTCATTTGTCATGACCACATGGGAAGGTGCAAGTAATCTAAGAGTTAATGACAATTAACAGCTGTGCTGTTTATATGTCTTCTTGTTAGCCATCTTGATTTCTAAACAGGTTCTTTGCAAAGTCAGAGAGGGCTTCTGTGTGTGTAGAATGTTCTGGCTCGCTTGCTCTCAAAAGAAAAGAGGAAACATAATGAGTATCTGGGGCTAGTTGTGATCTTTCTGCTTAGAACTTCTCAGGAAACAGCAAGCATAGCTTGGTTTTAAGGATTTCTCCATCATTGCCTCAGAGGACTCTACAATCCATTTGTTAGCTTGTGAGACCTTTGCCCCTTTCCTAGTGGCAAATGGGGTGAAATTTAGTAAGTCCAAATGCCAGACTCTACACCTAGGACAGAGTAATGCAGAGCACAGGTATAAACTGGGAGAGGAGCAGCTGGAGAGCAGCCCTGCAGAAAGGTGCCTGGGGGTTGCTGGCTGGCAGCAGGCCTGGCAGTGTGTCCTGGCAGCCACATCCTGGGGTGCATCAAACACAGATGGTCAGAAGAGGTGATTATCCCCCTGTATTCAGTATTGGTGCAGCCTCACCTGGAGTGCTCTGTGCAGTTCTGGGCCCCACAGTTTAAGGATGTTGAGGTACTTGAGTGCATCCAGAGGAGAGCAACAAAGCTGGTGACAGGGCTGGAAGGTGTGTTCTGTGAAGAGCAGATGAGGACTGTCGATTTAGAGAAAAGGAGGCTGGGGAGTGACCTTATTGCTCTCTACAGCTTTATGAGGAGAGAAGTACAAAGGGAGGTACTGAACTCTTCTTAGGAAGCATTTCTTTACTGAGAAGATGGTTGAACACTGGAACAGGTTTTCTAGAGAGCTGGTCAATTCCCAAGCCTGTCAGTGTTTGAGGCATTTGTACAATGCCCTTAATAACATGCTTTAACTTTTGGTCAGCCCTGGATTGCCCAGGCAGTTGGACAAGATTATTATTATAGGTCCCTTCCAACTGCCTTAGTCTATTCTAGTCTAGTCTTTCCTCTTGTGTCCAACAACTTTCCTAACATGACAAGAATAATTTGCTTTTTCTTTGTAACTTAGAAGTGGTTTCTGGGAGTGCACAAGCATGCACATTCAGAAGGATAGACTGTAGGAAGAGGTACAGCAAATAGGGAAATAATCCTGTTTCTTGAACAAGCCTTTGGAAATGTGTTCAGCTTCAGCTACATTTGTTCTGCCGGCCACCCAATAAGTTTTATTAGTATCAGACTCCAGACTATTCTCTTTAAATTTGTCAAAAGACCAATGAATTCATTCGGGCACAACAAAGTTTTTTAAGTCTATCATTAACTGTAGTAGTACGAAACAGAGAAAGTAAAATCCTTCACAGAGCAAAATAGACTTTTTGAAATTTAGCTTATTCTGTTGGAAAATTGCAGGCCAGCTCTTGTAAAATTCTCTGGAGAAGAGAGAATTCCTAGAGTATCTTCTCTTCATCCTAGATTATCTTCCTAGAGAGTATCATCCTAGAGTATCTTCTCTTCCTGGGAACATCAGTGTCCCACCACCAATTTCCTGATGGAATCTATAGATCTGAAAATCTAGGCAGTCAAGAAAAGATTGTAGAAAATTACTGACAGAAACCCTTCCCAATTTCTAGTAATCTACCATGTATATGAGTTCTAGGAGAACTGTTGGAATCAAAGCATCTTGACAAAATGTTTTGCTTGTGTTGAATTTTCAGTTTTAAAATGAGTATTTTTAGCAGGAGACCTCAGGTTCTTTATGCACTGTACACGTGTTGCGATGGGTTTCCACGGAATTTATCACTTAGACAAAAGATGAGTAAAGAGAGACAAAGAGGAAGGAGAAATTAAGAGGCACAGAGGGCGATGTGCCTTGTACCTGGTCACGCTGAGGTCAGTAGCAGAGTTAAGAGATTTTTTTTGAATCATGATCCAAATCAGTCTGTCTTACTACAAAGGGGCCGCAGAGATCACTCAGTGTGACTGACCCATCAAAAACTTCACAGAAAAGAAATGCAAAACAAACCTTTCTTCAAATTTCTCATATATCCTTGTTGACAGCAACAAGCATGTCAGCAACAACTAAAGTACCCAAAATAGACTTACATGATCTTTTTTTATGGTTAGTTTCATAGAAAATGTGACAACGCTTTTAGTGTTGCAATTGGTGGAGAGGAACTGGAGAGCTGGGTCTACCAAAGCTTTCAGGAGACAGTAATAACCTTCTGAAGACCCACAATGTGAAGTTCTCAACAAGGGCACTGCAGCACACAACGAGATTTGAATGTTGTGGTCTTAGTGTTTTTATTTACACTTGTAAACAGAAGAGGGCTAGAACATATGTGGTTTGTGCTGTATGACTATCAGTAGCTCTCTGGCATAATTTTGTTCAAGTGCAATTAATACTTTCCCAGAAAATTTGAGCAGCGTCCAGGGATTAACAGTCTGGGGACCATTCTTAATATGCAATAATGGAGAGGGCGATAGGTTAGCTGAATAGACATGAGCTGTTTTCTGGCACTTGCCCTGAGGTTCAGAGAGTGGGTTCTGATCCATTTTATGAGTTGCATCAATACCTTTAAATCAGGTATATGTACTGTGTCTTTGGTGGAAATCATTCCCATCTTCCTTTCACCTCTCTTGCAGTCTGGTTCTATTCTACCTTGATGCATATAGGTATAACCTGATTTTTCCAGGAGATAAACCTCTTACAGGGCTGGAAGTAACAGAACCTGCAAAACTAAAGGACCTACAAAAAATAATTAGGAAAAAAATAGCAGTCTTACCAATAATGAATAGCAGAGTAATCCCCTAATAACACTATGTACTATGTCCTACTCTTTTCTCTAAGGGTTCAGCAGCACTTGCTTACAGTAGTTGTGCTCTGTTTGAATACCTCATTTTAGTCAGAGATTTTGTTAACTTCACATTCAGCGGATAAACACTGGATAGCATTAACATCTTATTTTGCACCTGTAGCCGTTTGGAGAATATTTGTAAGAAAACCGTGGTTAAACTTATGTCACAGCCAAAGCCTTACGCAGTGGCTTGGCATGTGCACAGAGGTGCTACAGTCAGTGAAGATTTGAGGGTTCTTGTGCTCATTATCCATTTTCCTGATGGTACCATCACCACATTTACAATGACAAAATGCAGTGGGTGTCTGCACTTTGGGAAACTTCCCTAAGTCTAATATCTTTGTGCAAGCTGCTACTAGAAATTTAAGCCAAGAAGGCAGATGTATGGACCAGATACACCGACAGATGCCATTCTGCCACTTGTGATGTTGGGCATCAGTATCCTCAGATGGAAGGTTAGTTGCAAAGCCAGTTCTCTTTAATGAACTAATGCAGCAAAATTAGGTGTAACTCATTTCAAAGCTATGTACCCACAGTGTTTTGTCCACATGGCTAATGATTTGTAGTAACATTGCTAACTAATTAATGATACTAACTTAGCAAACTTTGTTTGCAGATGCTGTATGTCTGTGTTCTAAGATTTATGGATCTGTTTTTCTACTATAAAATGGAAAAATACTTTCTGAACTCTAAGATAAAAATACTTAGGTTATGAGTCAAGCTCTCATTAAAAATAGAGATTATATGATTATGAGTTTTGTAGCTAACTCTCGTGATATTTTGGAATGGAAAAACTAAAACGAACTTTGATGAAAATTCATTTCCAGTTTTAACTGTGGCCAGGTAGCTGTTTTGGGGAGGGTTGGTTAATTTGTTTGTTTTTTTTAAACTTAAGTATTCAGTGTAAAGAGCCCTGCAGGTATTCCTTTATTCCTTTAGCCACCCTTTCCTGATTTTTTTCAATACTAAATTGTTTAATTTTACTGTGATAGAGATCTCCAAATACTTTAGTCTGATAGCTGTTCAAAAGAACTTACAGTACATGTACAGAAAAAAAAGATATTTCATGTGTGCAAACTCTACTGCCTGCTCATTACAGAATTTATTTTTCAATGAGCAAGGGCCCGGAAGAAGCTAATGTAAGTATTTTAGCAAGGGTTTGTATTTCTCTGATAAACAGCACTCCCCTTCTGTTTGTGATCACAGGATGAAAGCTCTCTAAGCTTGTATATGTACATTTTTACTGCAACATCATGTAGTGTGCTCTTAAGATTGAGATCTCATTCCCCAGGAAGCATTTCTGTCTAAGATTAATTGCCCTTTTAAAATCAGTGTTTGATGTATTCCTTTGGCTATATCCTGACTTGCTTTAACCCTCTTTGACCTGACCCCACTCACTATTCCTGCCATGGCTGAAGCAGAAATCCTTCAGCTTGATGTATGCAGTACAGACTTCAGCCTGTGGTTTTTCACATCGATGGATTCAATTAGCTGAGTTTTTACTGATCAGCTTAGCAGAGGTCGAAGAATTTGTCAGACATGGAACAAAACTGTCCATAGTTTGGACATAATTGACCAGTTCATCTCCATTTTCACGTATCGTTTGCTTGTGAAGTTGTTTACTTTGTTAAACAACATAATAATATTCCTGGAAGTAGCATTTTTTAAAAGGAAAAAACCGTTTACTTTTCTCTAGTTAAGTGGGGGAAGGCACAAAACATGAAATAACAGCAATTAAGCTTTCGATCTGTGTATGTTGCTTATCACTCTTCAGCCAAGTGTTTTTAAACTGTAATTATGTCAAAATGTCCACGTTTGAATTTCATTTATTAAACTGAGAAGATAAATTAACAATTAGTAGTATGGCTTGAAAACAAGGATATGTGCTGCTCTCTTCTGTATTGACAGTGATTTTTCAGAAACAGTAATCCTTCTTTGCCTTGCTGGGAGTAGGTCATCATTTGGTCAACTGGAAAGTTCTTTATAAAAGATGGACAGCTATTAGAACCACAGAATATTTGCAGGCATGATGTGAATTATAGTAACTTGAAAATGAAGTAAACTAGAGGTTGAAAGTTCAAGAATGCCATTAAAACCTTCAAAAGTGTATGAATGTGCAAATGTTTAGGGAATATATAGTATGATTGCATAGAGGATTTGTTATTTAATTGTTTGGCATAATAGTATTTTGAAAACAATGACATTATAAAAAGTTCTCACAAGCTATTAGCAGCAAGGTCTTTTGCAGAAAATTGATTTGCTTTAGGCCAAACTTCATAGACAAAAATATTTATCAAATGAGGTTTGTTTTTATTTTGTAGGGTTTTTCTCTAGAACCACATTGATCTCATTTAGCTCCCTAGCTGTATACAGAGATAGCCCTAATTTCTGAAGGTCAGCTCTACACAGTTTAGAGGGAAGGACAACCTCAAATCTATTTAGGGGCATGGTGCATGAAAGGGTTAACTTATTTTAAGTCAAGATACCCGTTGTTCAGAAAAGCTGCAAAACTCCTAAAAGTGATTTATCTCTCCCTCAGCAATGGAAAACATATCACGGATGAGTTGGCCTCAGTTTGTCACACGTTCAAGTGTTTATCTTTTAGTGCACACCCTGCCCGTTCCTTGTATATATAAATGTATTGTGTGCTCTCTTGTTACACGGAGCAGCAGGACGATTTGCGTTGAACTTTGTCACTTTGCCCACATGTGCGTGGCCAAACTTAACACGGTGCAGAAAATTGTTTTATAAACCTCAGTCGCTTACCCCACTCTTTTCTAAACTAGCACAGGTTTATTGCCAGTTCAAGGCTGAGGCTAAGGCATCGATGCTAAGGAAGAAGGGTAATAAGAATGTTTCCTGGGAGTTTAATCTTACATTTTTTTTTCATTCTCCTTGAAGCTAGATGTTTGATGGGAAGCATCTTGGGCTCAGTCTTGTAAGGCCTTCTGAAACCTTTTAAATACTAAAATGTCAGATGTTTAAGAAAAATATTTTAGTGTTCTGTCATCAAGCCTATTAAAAAACTTCTATGAAATATACAAGAATCAAAATAATAATTAAAAAAAACAACTGCAATGTGTAGTTAAGTAAAGCTTTCATTTCCATCCTCTATCTGCTTTTTCATTGAGCTGCATGAACTCTTTTACAGAAGGAAAAATTCCCTTGGTTGTCTTAGACAGCATTACTGTCAGTAACTGTTTTGGGGAATTGTTAAAAATAGTCTGCTCGAGCTTAGTCTACTTAGCAGTGTTTGAGGCCAAATTCTCTTTCTCTAAAAACTTTTTCAATGGACTTTTTCAATAGAAAAAAGTTTTCTAGTTCATTTACATGCCTTCTGGCTCCTGTGAGATTAGAAGTGTAAGCCAAGTTCTTGTGAGCTGCTCCAAAGTGTTATAAACTTGGTAATAAACTTGCTTGTGGTGACTGTTTTAATCCACTTTTTTTGGTTGTGTTTCAGAAATGTGACTATCTAACCTGAAGATAGACTTGAGGTAGAAGATGACAGGAAATAACAAGAGAGGAAAAATTAAATGGAGAAGAAAATTATGAATCAAATATTTGATTTCATCTCAGTATTTAATGATATTTTATGTCAATGATAATATTGCATATTCATCTACTTCCATATTGGGGATAGAGAATGGAATATAATCCAGGGGATCAAATCATATTAAGAACTGTGACAAAGAAGCTTTTTTCCTCTCCGTTAAGTCACAGGTTGAGATGTTTATGCCACAAGATCATGTAGAGATCAGCCAACTGGCCTGCATCAAAACCATACAAAGAAACAGAGCAGTAATTAAAGCTAAATGAGTGAATATGGGCTTAATGGCAGTCCATATTCATATCTTGCCTGGAGTTGGGCTTTTGTAGTCCAGTACTCTGCAAGAACAGAGTTCACTGAGGTTGCTACAGGTCTAGTTCTATTGCAGCATTTTGGACAAGCAGGAGCTCTGGTAAAATGACATCAAGGTGCCGTAAGGGTTATATTGAGATATGTAATATGAGTGACAAAACACTCCAAGATGGAGAGACTGATGTGTCTGTTTATTTTGAAGAAGAATTTAAAAGATCAAATTAATGATTTAGAAAAGATAGGTTAAGCATTCTTGCTCTGTTTTCTCTGAGCTGTTCAGTACAGGTATTAAAAATTTACATTCCTTGTAAAAGAAAATACAAAGTTGTAGATTTTATTTGTCATTAGTTGTCTTTGAGGGTAGGAATTTGCCATAGTTGACAGCTCTCTGGGATATCTGAGCAGGTACAAGAGTAACCCAAGCTGAAAACATACATTTAGGAAAATGGTGACCTTCAGCTTGAGCAATTGAACTCATGTTACTACCAATGATTACAATAAGTGATACTGTCTTGTTGCTGATAGTTAACCAGGTCTTTGTGGCTGTTTATTTGTATTCATGTTGGGCAGTTGGGCAGTTATTCTGAAATTCTTATTCTCCAAACTTTGTCTTGTGTTTGGAGCAATGTTTATTCCTGACACAGAGTCATTTTAAGAAAGAGACTTGTTCTAACTTGTTCTGAACAGCATGTTGACCATGTATTTCTGTGTATGAGTTCTTCACCTGAAATCAGCTTCAGTGGCTTTCACCAGGGCTGTTGAGATACATAGGCAGGAAGGAAAAGTCAGTCCTGTGCTTTCATGTCACATATCAGCTTCTAAAATTTTTGAGGTCAGAGGAACCTTTTGTTGTGGCTAGGCTACTTTAGAGTTGGCTTTGCAGAATTTTTTTTGTGTTCTTGCTCTTGGTCAGAGGATACTGAAGAGTGTATCTGCTGATTCGATCCAGTGTGTCATTTGCGTGTCTCTTTAAACTGATAGTTACTCAAAATTAGGGGAGAGGAAGGGAATAAGGGGTTTGGTAGTTTATGTGTGGTCAAAGTAAGGTTAAAAGTATGTTAAGATTGCTAAGGAAAATGAGTCACTTCTAGCAATAAAGCCTACTACTGTGACAAACGGGGTCATTTTTGCATAGGATGGGATTCACAAAAAAGTAAGGAAAGCCTGGGGGCTACTGTGAAGCTTCTGAAAACTCCTACTAAGATTTTACTCCAATTTAAAGAATTTTAACTGAAAAAATCCCCGCTCAGTAGAATGTGTAGTAAACTTAGACCTTGAAGCTATCACTTCTTAAATGTGAAATATTTTATATCAGTAAAGAGAATGTAAGTGTTCTCTGTCTAAAGTACTTGTGCTGAGTTCATTAAAGAGCAACTGATCATTTTGCTATGAGATTTGACCAAAATCCACTCTTCTATGCAGTTCCCATATGTAGGTATTGAGCTCCTGTTAGTATTCAGCTAAGTAGGTAAGATTTGTTCAGAATACAAGTTTGTTTTTCTATTTGAGACCTTTATATTGAGGTTGTCATTACTGTGGAGTCAGAACAACTCACTATATTTCTGTACTTTGGTCACTTTTACACCTACACATGCCAGAAACAGATTGGAGATATTCCAGTTAGATTGGAGTTTATGAATGAAAAAGACTGAAAAAAATATGTCTTAACTTCTAATATTTTTTAAAGATACTGAAGAAAAGCAAAACTTTAGTACTTAATTTATAGATAATTTAATTCATTCTGTTGCTAAGCTTGCTTACTAAGCAAAGAAATATTTTGCCATAAATTAAAAAATATGTGATATCTGGCTATAGTAAATATTACAAAAGTAATGTGGAAATGTTCATAAATACCCCTTAGCCTAGTTTCTTTTTGTATTTTATGAGCACATGAGATTTTTTTTTTTGGTAGCACGCACAATCAAAATAATCATGAAGCTTGTTTTTTTGTAAATGGTACCCACTCGTTGTCAATTTTAGTATTGGACATTGGAGCTGTTTTCAGTATTCATTAGTTTTAGAGCTAGCAGTTGAAAGATTCCTGTATCAAATGGAACCATTGATGACAATATTGAGGTTTGAGGGATTTTAGAGATGCTACCTACTTAAAATTGCAAAAAATGAAGTATGCTTTTTAAATGCTTGTTTGTTCTATTCTACTGCCAGTGCAGAAGTCACTGGAGGAGTACTTCTTTAGACTATGAGGCTTGTTTGGGACTGTCTCCTCTCTGTATGTCCTAGAATATCCAACCTGAAGTACCTACAGAGGGGAAAGATAACTCCAGCTGCTGTTCAGTGCTTTCTTACCACCTGTGGTTACAGGTTAGAACACAGTCTTTGAATTTGCTTGCTAATATAGAATAGTCTTCTGTAAAGAATTGCAGATACGTATGTATGTGTGTATCACATACGTGTTCCACTGTGCTAGATCAGAAGCCCTACTTCCAAGACGAAAATTTTCACTTTTGCTTACCGGAGACTTAGCCCTGCCCAGCTTTGCCTTTAGGCTTTTAAAATTGGGTCAGCCATATCTGTCAGTAACAAACTTAGTGGTTGCACATTACGTTACTCACACGAAGCACATTACTGAAAGCCATGTGTCTGTAAGTAATTTCCTAAGAGATCCTGAAGAGCTGGATTAAAATCTTCCCGGTGGAGATGTTGGTGTGTGTCTTCAAATTCAGAGATGTCCCAGGCACCAGGTGCTGAACACATGCTGTCAAGAAGTGCTCTGGCATTTCAAGATACTTATGCTTAAGGGCCTGTTCTGCCTGGTAATCTGAGGAGCAGGAGAAGTGGGAAGGAATGCAATCACACCTCAAACACAAAAGGAGAACTCTGCTTCTTATAATGCTGACCCAAGAGGAGTTTTCCTACAGTAGCATACAGCTATTGCCAGGAATACCTTAAGGATCATCTGATCCAGAAAATACAATGTATTCTGAAGATGAGCAAACAAATATCTATGGCTCAATTCACGACTGAAAAAGCTGGAATCTAGTTATGATATGTTATTAAAATGCTGCTACTGCACAACACCTGGTTGTTTTCACTCGTTACACATTTAAGTATCCTTGTCCAATATAGTTCCATGGCCTTGTATCATGCAAGAAGCGCTCTGTTTGCTTGTAGTTTGAAGCACTACTTCCCTGTTTAGCACTGTAAAGCCAGTTTTATAAGTGGTGCTGCTCCTGACTACGGGTGGGTTCTGGGACTTGCTATGCAGGGCACTTGCATGCAGAGGATTCCAACAGAGTACTCCAGGGACACTTTTGCTAAATCCTAAGTAACTTGTATTGTCTATCATTGAAGGGATTTAAGCCTGCTAGATTGTCCTGACAGGTGCCTGAGGCCACAAATTGGAAGGGAGGTATTTCATCCCACTAAAGAATTTTAAGTGGTACATCACAGATGTTGTCTGGCTAGAGGAGCTGATCTTGTGTAGGTGAAAGGGAGTATGTCGCTGCAGCATTGGTGAGCATTGAGGTGCTAATCTGTGTGAAAAACTGCTGAAATAAGTAACTCCAGCAGAAGTAGTGCCTTCTCACTATGCTGCTCTTAGGCACTTGACTGTGTCTCAAAACTAAACCAACCTTTTCCCTCCATCTTCAATTCTTTCTTTTTGAATAATAATTAATAGTAAGGTATAAAAAATGTATTTAGAATGCAACAGTCTGAACTGATGCTGAATAAGCTCATTTTCTTAATATTGAGTGGTTTACTTTGCAAGCCATAACTTACATAGCTAAAGGAAATGGAAAAACTTACGGTGTGATGCCATGACATTGCACATCTTTCCACCTTCTCTGAAGACTACAGATTTTCATTTTTGTTCTCTTCCTGTATCTCACTGATCCCTGAACACTGAGGGCTTTTTAAGGAAGCTGTGGATTCGCAACAGCAAATATTGTAGTCCTTCCAGCATTCCCCTTAAAGAAGGGAGAGTGGACTCAAACTGCCTCAGGCTGAGGAGGACTTTGAGCCACTGCCTCAAGGACTCTGTTGAGATGCAACAGGCCACTCTCTCTTGCTTCTTTCCAGTAGATACCTATCTGCCAAAGAGACTCCTTTGCCAGTACTTCAACTGGATCGGGGTGGTTTTCTGATCAGGAACACTGAGGCACCTTTTAGATGACAGAGGAGCAGATCTCTTATGAAGCCCTTTGCTTTAGAGGTGCCTGTTTCTCTCCATTTTCTGTACAGAGCTGGAAACTCTTCTGACTTTACATGGTATGATTTGTTAGCCTGGCTCAGATACCTGCTTAAAGTGTTGCTGCCTTGACTTAGTGTCTAAATTTAAGTGGTCTGAAATGTCTTAGTACATATTGTGTAAGCATAATTGTCTACCTTCTGGACATGGAATATTTTTAAGTTTTACCAAAAAGTTTTGCCATCTGTGCTTATCACTTGCCACTAGTGACTTTTTGGGGGCTATACTACCTTCTTTATTGATGGAGTTCCACAAGGAAAGAAAAGAAAAATCATTTAATCCTGGGGCAACCACTCTGATATATGACTTAATTGGTTTTCAGCCTTTTTTTTCCCCCTTTTTTTTTTAAATGCCAAAACAGTGTTTTTTATTTGTCCATCACTTCAGTAATATACAAATATTCTGATTTTAAGTAAATAGTTATTATATACTCACACAATCTGCCTTCAAAACATTTATTGCTATGCTTTTATTTTTCTTGTATTTGCACTTCATCTTATTTCTGATATTAATTTGCAACAAAGTAAAAGAAACCATCTTAGGTCATGCAATAGGTAATGCAACTCAATT